CATATATTACGTTTTTAACTTTTTTCCGTTAATTAGATAAAACATTTATTTTTCTTTAGAAAATACATTACATATATACGATTAAGTTAAAAGCTTTAATAATAATATTCGTCCCGACAGCCCTGCGCGGGCGCAGCTGCATGATGTCCGTGTACCATTTATTTATTCTATATCCGCGCCAAAACATCCAATTGGATGATGGCGACAAAGAGCTTAAATTGCGCGTCCAAATCCCATAACAATAACGGACAGATGTAGCGATTGCTCTTATAGTTATCCTTTGTAATTATGATAGAAAACTTTAGAGTCGACAGTAAACAAACTGTTACGGTTGAGTCTTCATTTGCGTGATGAAAATAATTTTGTTACTATCATAGTACTTTTTCGACGCCAATTTTGATTTTAATTCAAGCATGGAAAGTCACGTTTTTATTAGAGAAATAAATACACATGGTTTTCGTATAAAAATATCACATTATAACCTAATACGACGTTATATTTGTAAACATATCCATAAAATGTCTAATAAAATCCTAATCTTTATCATGCTAAAATATAATAAACATAAAACTCTCATGTCACTTTCTAAACCAACACGAAAACAATATTAAAAACTATTATTTACACAAAAATCGTATGGTATAAAGTCGTAACGAAGTACAGATTTCAAACAGATCGGCATGAGCGCTGTATAAACCAGGTTTCTAAATCAAGATAACTCTACAAATAGATCATCTTCAAGTGGAGTGTTCGTGCATTGCTATAGTTTTTACCAGTTGGTTTAATTATAATATTTTAATACGAGACTGTACGCATCGGTATTTTCTATGATAATTAACACAGTAATATTATTTTCTTTATATTTATTGCACTAATTTTAGTTGAGTGTGTATACGTTACGCTAGCGAGATTTTTCATGCTCCATATAATTATATGTTTTTTTAAATAAAATTCAACGTTATTTGTGGATGGAAACCTATTTAACAGACGTTAAGCATATTATATATAATATTAACCATTGAACCGATGCTTCTAATACCGTAATATTTATATAACCATAATATTAAACTAACGTTATTAATATAATAAATAAATAAAAATAAATAATAAAAAATATGATTTTTTGTATGTTTATTTGTTATATCTTTGCGCTATTATGGCTAAACAGATATGAGTGAAATTTGGAAATAAAATAGGTGCTTTAACTGCAAGAGATAATGAACTTACATTTCTGTCGTCTGTATTATTTGTATATACTCGTATATATTAATGTATATTCTGTTAAACTTCTGATTGCACCCCTTCCCGATTTATTTCTTTTTCTCTGCCCAAAGGTTGCCTGGAAGAGATCGCTCACTTAGCGACAAGGCCGTCTGTTGAGCTATATCGTCTTTAATACATATATACCATATAAACTTTTTGGTGTGCAATAAAGAATATTTGATATCATTTGAAAGTACTTTAACTATAGTGAGTGAAGTAAACTACAGTAGTAACCTACCAAATATAAATGTATGCTAAATACTATAGTATAAACGAATATAACTAAAACGCAATTTGTCTTATAATATAGATAAAACGTAATCTGAATCAATAGATTCTATAAATATTTTTAGTTCATTAGCGTATCCGTGACAAATACCGATATAATGCTGTTAATTATTTTATAATATTAACATTCATTTATTCATGTTATAAACTGTTCGTTGCATATTCTCACACCTTGCCAGCCCTACCATTTGATACGCATCAACATAGCTTTTGGTATAAACTTCATAGTAAAATTATAAGAAAATTAATTAGATGACGTCAAAAAATGGCCGAACCCAACACAATACACGTGTTACTTAATTTAAAGCTAAAAATGTAATGTTAAACAATGCTTTTAATTCAAATATATACAATCTATACTAATTAAACGATGTGAAAACAAATTAAAACTGACAAAATATTAAGATGATAAAAATTCGAAGTCATTTACATCCAAACCTTTAAAAAAATCATACTTAAAGAATAGGTTTATTTAGTCATAAAAAAATGTATTTTTTGCTAGTAAATGAGATATTGTATGAAATAGTTTTAATTAACACAACAAGCAGCTTTAGCGAGCTTTCGTCACGCTACTTGACAGTGGAAATTATAAGCTACTAGATTTTAAGCACGCAACATGTTAAGAACTTCGTAAGGCATTAAAAGAAAAAGCTATCAGGCAAGTGACTTTCAAGACATCTGCCGTTGGAATGAGATTATCCCACTTACTTGCTTTCGTTTTCTATAGTTTTAATGAGTAATAAAACCGGAAATCGATATCTTTTATTGCTTACAAATATAAAAATGTATATTTTGAATATGTTAAAGTTACGACTTGTTATGAAATTAAATAAATTACCCAAATAAAATATTTGGTAGTGGGAAATATTTGTAGAGTTAGCCAAATTATTTGATGGCATTTAATAAAGAATTATTTGTATGCGTTATAATATAACAATAACAAAATTTATTTAACTTTACGGATGAATTGACACCAGCTATGACGCGTGTGCGATTTAGATGCCGCAAATTACTCTTTATTCTAGACACATCACTCTATATTTTGTAAATAATTAACTTTCTCGTAAATTATAACTAAACGATCATATCTGTTGATAGTCTCAATAAATGCAATGCTTCTTTTTGATAAATTGTTTGAGTAAGCAAACCTTATATTGAATTAAATTAATTGAACGTCGACATGGCGATCTCTCAAAATATCTATCTATTATATGTGCAAAAATAAATATATTAACTACTAAGCCTCGACACTTGACGTTTAATTGAACTGTATTTGTTTTTATTAAAAACTAGTTAGCACCTTGAACGGGTGGGTAATAAAAAGATCAAGCTTTTAGAATCTGACATTGCTACTTGATTCCGATAAACGTTCACTCGATCACATCACTACGCTAGTGATGTGCCACACTCATGGCGATGACAGCGCAGGATGACAGTATCACTACTAAGCCGATCGCTCGCCACAGAGAACACTATATCAATCACTCCACAATCGTACTGCATGCCACTTAAATAAATTTATAACATATTAAGTACGTTGAAAATAAACACTTTACCGTTTATGATTTATTTCGTGCGCCGATGAATTATGGTCGTTGCTTATTAAAGTGTTCTAGAGAGGGAGGTCCGAATTTTTATCTCTTTTTGTGGCGATTTCACATGCCACCGCCACCGATAAACGTTTTATTGGAGTAATTAAAAACCAACGATTAGCTTTTGTACGTGTTACATATGGACGCATGATAAATTGGACACATTACAACGTAATCGGTAAACGATATTTTTATTGCACTATCACTACTTGTCGCCCAATACTGATTTCGTAATTTATGTCATAATAAAAAAAATCCCGTTTACGCTAGCTATCTATGTAACCTAAGTCAATGTAAAGTAAATAAATGACTAACCGGTCAGTTCCATGACACTGACATGCTATCTGCGACGGTTATCTCCCAACCCCGGGGGTCAGCTTGCAATATTGTAAACATAAATACTATAATATTTTATTAATTAGTTCATATATGTCTTGGACTGATAACGAGTCAATAATATTATTGTGCGGTTAAAAAGTGAAATTTAGAACGCCCGTTCAAAGTTACTTCCGGATATACTTGACATTTTAATGTCAGTGAAGACGTCAAAATTATTTCAAATTGCATTCCACCGCAACATGTCAACGCCTATTCAGCCTATTCCGTAAAAAATAATACAAACAAGTTGTGGTATAATAAATTTATAAGAAAATAACATATCTCGATGATTGTCGGTTTGTTGCCAGATTACCCGTTTCATAATACCGAATTGGTACAAAATGACTCCATTTAAGGTCTTTTTTGTTCAAATAATAGGTGTTACTGCTGATTTACATTGTTGTATTATTACCGGAACCGCATAATGAAATATTGAAAACCCTTGCTGTGGAAAATATTATCAATATATTTAATATTATGCAATTTACTATGTTCGGTTTGTATGGAGAATTCAATTTAATTTTTGTTCCGGAGATTCTTGACGGGCGTATTAATTTTAATAATAATGATAGCTATTTTAAGAGAACAAAAACGATTCAAAATGACATAGGTAATTTGTTTGTTAATTTTAATATGATTTTTAAAAATCCTGTATCTTATGATGAATCAAGTCAATTAAAAAAATTATGAAACAAAATGTAAATTAAAACAGGACGTTACAAATCGATTGCGAATAAATTGAAATCAATTCCAATCGATATTTGAACGGTACTAAGCCCTAGCTAACCGGTAACCCGTAAACAATCAATACGTCGCCCACGCAAACCAATAACTGATTTTCCGTTGCTAATTACGCTTTATAGTTATTAAAGCTCGAAGAAATTGCCGCCGCTGATTTACGGGACGCCATTTTGCGACATTTTAATATCCGAATGCGTTGGCGCGCTTTTTCCTTTTTTAATTCTGATGGGTAATGGAGGCAGGTGCGTCGCCACAAAGTTATTCAGTCCTGCATTCTGTCTTTCGCGAGTAATTTTCGTATGGTGTTTCTAAATGGGTTTTGTGTATGGAATCGAATTGGGAGGGCAAGGGTTTTAATTTTTTCCCAATGGTATTCAGCATTTTTTATATTTTTTGCAATATTTGATAAAAAGAAAAGGTTTTTGCGTGAAAAAAATAAAATGGCATTAAAAAGTTGACTATTGATTGATAGAAATAATTTATCATTTGTAAGCATGATATTTAGAATTCTGTACATGTAAATTTGTATGTATTTAGTGATGGAGATTGGGCGATCTGTTTATATCGTATTTTAGTTATCGATTGTGTTATCGATTTTTTGAGATTGTGTATTTATTCTATTTTTTTCAGGTCAAAAAAAAAATTAAAAAATAAAATGACGAAATGACATACAACATATCCGGATAAAAAACACATACAAGTGTTTAGAAATTACTGCAAAAGTAAATCATGGCTCACCTGTTTACTGAAGACTGCAATATCTTCGTTGAAGGACTCAGACGAGCAGACGTCACCGCCGGCCACCCCTGGGTCCCGGGGGGTACATGTGGCCAGCTCGCACTTTTCAAAAATCAGCGCCAGCAGGGGGAAGAGGGGGTGCCTGTAACATAGATGTTGGTCAATATATGAACCATGCTTTGTCCTACAAATTGCCATTATCCTTCAGGTCAGGTCAAATCCATGTTATTTTTTTTTTTGTTTTATTGCATTTAAACTTATTATTTTCATTTTATTGTCGGTACTTATCAATCATAATGAATATAAATATAAAAGATTGATTAAAACTATTACTATTTTTAATAACTAAATTTTCTAATTGACATAACTTTTTGCTTTATGAACCGATTGAAATAAAACAAACACTAAATATTGAGTGAAGCTTACCACAATACATTAGTGAAAATCGCATCCAATTCAATTAAGCCGTTTCTGAGATTAGCGCGTACAAACTCAGACAAACAGACAAAAACTCTAAAAATCATTGTTTTGGGTTCTTTTGCTTTAATAAAGACCCCCAATTATAGTTTTTCTTAAATATCTTGTACATGTACAGACAGCGATTATTTACACTTTTATTATATGTATAGATTTATACACTTTTATATAAACTCTACATAATACATACTTTTAAAGTAACGATAACAGATAATAGTAATTATAATATAGGCAAGGAAACCACATCTCATACCACAGTAAAAAAATACGAACACATAAAAACATAAAAAACTTTATCATGATTACCTACATCTCATAAAATAATATAAAAAACAAACATATAGACAGATATAAACATATAGATATGACCAGATCTAAAGATTTATACGATAAAAGATATGCAGAACGTGACAGTGATATCATCGTATGATAGGTGATAAAATATGGTACAGAGTAATAAGTATAGGATAGTTTTTTTTATTTACCTGACTGCTTAAAAAGAAAGGTAATGTTATTTTAACGTATACAAGCTTTTTATAAATAACTCAAGCTTATTTAAATCCATACTAATATTATAAATGTGAAAGTGTGTTTGTTTGTTTGTCCTTCTTTTACGTCGAAACGGAGTGACGGATTGGCGTGATTTTTTGTGTGGAGATAGTTGGAGGACTGGAGAGTGACATAGGCTACTTTTTACCGCGGGAGATTATCTTATTTCCACGGGAAAACACGTTATAATACAATCCAAAAAATATTTATGATCAGAATTACTTGAAACTTGGTATTGATTCTCTTCAATAAAATTAATTAAAAATGTGTTTTAGCATTTTTCGAAATTCATCCTATAAGGGCGTAAAATAGGGGATGAAAGTTTGTATGAAACCTTCCTATTTAGAGATGTTTTTGTAGTTTTAGCGTGAGCGAAGCCGCGGGTTCTGCTAGTAAGAATATATTTTAAAGTCACCACATAAGATTTTGTTCTATCTAAAAGTTTTTTTTTAATTATAATTATATGCATATAAAACATTAATTAAATTCATGTCTGTAATAAATTTTATTCAACACGTAACTTGACATACATACGAGAGTCATGGTATTGACTTAGACCATGACTTAGAATCATGAATGAAAGAACAGCTTAGCCTAAAGACCACATAAAAGACGTAATTGAGAACAAAAGATAAAATAATATTGGTTAGACGTGACGCTGATACCATCAAGTAAAGGAAGTGAAACTGCGGTGAGGCATGGTGGTAGTGTGAGCGGTGTTTATTAGATAATAAATAAGAAGAAAAGTGACCGAATCATATAGTAGGTACGTTTTAATTTTTTTGAGCGTAACCCTAATTCTTTTTCTAAAATAAAAATAGCCTAGTTACTCCTTATAGCATCTGCTATCTGCCAGTGAAAGTCCCATCAAAATCAGTCCAGCCCTTACGGAGATTAACCGGAACAAACAGACAGACAAAAATTTAAAAAATTGTGTTTTTGTTAAAAGTACCGTATATAATTTAGACATTACAAACAGACACTTCAATTTTATTTATCTGTATAGATTGTGTTGTTAGAAGGGTAGTATTAGATACGATATGGAAATATTTTTATTCTTAAACAGTCCCATATCACTTACGTGTGCTAATTATTTTACCAAAATTACAAGTAGGTGTGTATACTGTACAATGCGATTTAAAACGCATAATCGTAATATGATAGCACTTGTTTGTGCAAACTTAAGATTTAACATTCTTTATAACAACTAGCGATTCACCCTCGCTCCACTCGGGTTCATTCCTAGTTTTGTTTTCTAAGGATTTTTCAGAGATGAGATATTTTCCCGCAATAAAAAGTAAATCAGCTATCATCATACCAAATTTCATCAAAATCCCTTCTGTAGTTTATCCGTGATGCGGTCACAGACAGACAGACAAATATTCTTTTTCAATAAAATTTTCCAAAAACTATTTAATGTACAGAAGACTCAGTTACAATTTTATTATATACATATAGATAAATAAATTAAATATAGTTGTGAATAAAAATTTCAAAAAACCATGCAAAATCACTGCGGCTCACTAGAAATATAATTTAATATGTTAAAAGATCCTTCGGGATAACTAATTTGATTACTTAGCATTACCTACTATGGTGAAGGATGTAGGTTTGAATTTAGTATGAGTTATGGTATAATATATTCATATATTTATAATAAATTAACTTATTTAGCTATTACAAGGTTTTTAGATTGACCTTAGAAAATAAAACGATGATCAAGTATCGTTTTTATTTTCTAAGGCCAATCAAAATAAAACCTAATTTTGTCTTGATTCAAGGTAGGAACATATTATTTCTAATCTAACAAATTCCACACAACTATTTTAAAATAACACACTAACTCAAAGTTATAAAAAATCCAGAAAAGCTCTAAACTTGGTCTCTATTACGTGCATGAAAAACATTCAAATTAGTCAAGACGTATAGTTCATATTCAATATACGTGTTATTGATCATGCTATACATCTATACTAACATTATAAAGAGATAAAGTTTGTGAGTTTGTGACGTTGTAGGGGGTAATCTCTGTATCTACTGAACCGATTTAGATGAAATTTGATGAGAAGATAGTTTGATACCCTGGAAAGGACATAGAATACTTTTTATCTCGGAAATCGTCCCTTAAGGGGGGTGAAAATGGGGATAAAATTTTATACGGGGAATCAACCTAGGGACGAAACCGAGCGAAGCGAGAGTGAATTGCTAGTTATACTATATTAAGTTAGGACATTAACACAACACCACCTAGTACCATGGTAAGCTACGAGGCTAGTGTTATGGATACCAGATAGTTGATACACTACACATATATAACTTCAAATACAAATTCAAATATATATTATAAATATAAACACCCATGACTGAAGTACAAACATTCGTGCTCATCACACAAATGAATGTCCCCGAACTCGAACCCGCGACCGCTGGCACAGCAAGTAGGATAGCTACAAACTGATCCAAACGTGTCGTCGTTTTAAAATGTGTATAAATAAATAAAATCGTTAAAGAAATATCATATTTTAAATCAATTAATACGTGCAATGATTTCTCGAGTAATTAAAATGTTAAAATACCAAAGAGGCTTTATATATTGTTTATATATTTCTATCACGCGATACGTAAGTAATAAATATTATGAGCAATAAACGATTTGATACATATGTCGCATCGCGTATCAATTCGTAAAGAATATGTAGGTCTATTTTTTTATTCAAAAGTAATATTTTAATATTTTTACGTATTAATTATCATGTAAGACGTTTTTTATTTTTATTGTACGTGTTTTAGTTGAACAGATACATAAATAACTATGTCAATTTGAAAGGTTATTGAAGTAGAAAAAAAAATTAAAATCGGCAGTCATGGGGACTGCCGACAGAAGTGGAAACTTATAACTTTGGAATAACTGTTTCTTTTCTTAAATTTTTACATTAATTATTACTATGAATAATTAAAATTTCATAAATTGTAAATTGAAATTATTATTAGACTCGTTTTCACATCTATTGGTACCCTGAGCAATAATTATTTTATTTTGTTACAGTTTATTTATTAATCAAAACTTATGACGCTGCACATCGCCAGACTGCGTCGACATGTCGGTGACGCGAACCCATAAGTTTTGCCCCTACCAAAAATCACTCAATGCGGCTAAAGAAGTTTTCGCTCTAAACAATCGACTTTAAACGTCGATCTAACTCATTTTTTACTATTAAAATTATAATATTTTATATAAAGATCGATTACATATAATTATTTATTAAGTCACCTACAGCAGTCCTGCGAAACATTTTTCTAACAATGTGGTCTAAATTATAATTACAAAGTGTATGAAGGCAAAAACACTTCAATCATATAAATAAGACGATTAAAATAGCGATTAACCTTTAAACAGTAAGAACCATGACGAGTGTGTGGTCTCCTATCGAGCGAGTAATTATTTACATTAAAACCCATTAAAAAATAATTGATCTGATAACGTATGATGGAGTTATTAGTCAAACCATTAAAATAATGAAAATTAAATCAAAATTATAAAGTGATGGGAAAGTAAAATTATGTATACTATATTTATGTATGCATTACTTTGGTTAATCATATTCTTTATGAGCTTTTAATATTGAAGTTGATATATGTGATAGTAACTTTGAAAAACTATAAATATATAATTATTATCAACTAGCTTGCTTCCCAATACAAACTTTTATCCCCACTATTACCGTTTTAAGGGATGATTTCCGGTATAGAAAGTATTCTATGTCCTTTACAAGGTCTCAAACTATCTTCTTACCAAATTTCATCTAAATCAGTTCAGTATATCCAGAGATTACCCCCTACAATGTCACAAACTCACAAAATTTACCTCTCTACAATATTAGTATAGATTCATTTTCTTATCATTCTAGTTAAACTATGAAGAGAAAAATTTCTAATACATTTTCAAAATTACGTTACAATAATAAATATTAAACCGCTCTTTCACTCCGCTCACACTAACGCCCAACACACAAACTTCTTGACAACTTTTGATCTGATAAACAGATCGTGAGGACAATCCGCGAAGCGTCGCACCTCGGGGCCATCTTAAAGCGATAGACGTAAGCTCTTAAGATCTCGACTATCAATCTACCCTTGTAATAAAGTTACTTTATCATATTTGAAAGGGAAAATAAAAAAATGGGTGCGTGTAACTTTTACGCGCGTTTGCATATTGCAATGATATATTTATAGAATATCATATACGGAAAGAATATAATATTATATATTTGTCAGACAATAACAAAGTTTACCATGGCAACATGGCAATGTATTCTATCTTATTCTCTCGCTGGTTTAATCCTATATATTTATGTGTGTCTCTTTTTAGTGCCGCATTTTCGTTTCATCGAATTTCAAATCACAACGATTCTAAAGAAGTTTCACTTCAAAATAGCAAGTGTCTTTTTTCTTCTATGAAACAAACTGGTATGCTAATAGAAATAACAATTGATTATATATTTTCTAAATAGCTGAAGTAATAAAAAATAATATGTAAAACAAGCTTTGTGTGCTTGCTAAAGATAAGTATACAACAACTATCCCTTGACTTCTCTACATACAAGAATCATATTAAAACACATGCTGTATATTTATGCTGTTGCTTTTATCACAATAAAAATTGAGCTTTTTGATAATATAACTCAATATAGATTGTGGAATGACTACTTCATAAGCAAGAATTTGCACAATGTACCAACCATGTACGATATATCTCACTAAATTCAGTGCCAAAGTAGAGAAGAATGAAATGATTACATTCTTCCCATATCTTTTTTATTTATTATATTTTTTATTATATTTATATTATATTTTTATTTTATTTGTACTTTTATATTATATTTTTATTACTGAATCGTACGAGTAAATCATGATCACAAAACATGAACTCGAATTTATAAAGTGCCCACTACATGTTAATCCTCGTTTCAGTCGGGGGTGTTCCCAGATGCCTAACAGTGGTCTATGTGTTACTCCAGGTCACCTATCCTGATTTATTCGTGTACTAAATTTCATTTAAATCCATCCAGCCCTTGCACGCTGAAGCGTGAGTAACAAAATATAGGTACACTCAGACAAAGTTTGACATGGATGTCAGTCACAGTAATCTATTTTATTAGACTTTATAAGTTCGATCTACGCCTACTTTTAAAAGTTCATTTTTAAAAGTTACTTTACAAGGAAAATAAGTTTTATTTAAATCTGTCCAGTCAGATGGGCGTTGTATAAGCATTATCAAAACAAACAGAATCTATATCGAGTTAATAATAATTTTGCTACCGTTCATTTCGAATATTTGATAATAATATTTATCAATGAACTGAATATGTTAAATCCTTAAGATAACATCGCAAAGTTAGCGATTAGTGTTGTTGTGACGTGCAACGGTAATTACAACGATAATGCAGTAAAAATTTATATATATATATATATATATATATATATATATATATATATATATATATATATAATAAAATTCTAACTGAGTGGAATCTGTACATTAAATATTTGAAAAAAAATCTTATTGAAATAGTCATTGTTATCGATACAGAGGCCAAATCTATATCTTTTAGAATTTTTGTCTGTCTGTCTGGGAACGCTTCATAGAAAACCACTAGACAAATTTCGATGAAATTTGGTACCTACGATGATAGCTGGTTATCCGGGTCAAAATATAGGATACATTTATTATCATATCAATCTCTCATCTCGGAGAAATCTATACTAACACTTAAAATATACCTACCCAGGGAGGAACCCGAGCGGAGCGAGGGTGAGTCACTAATGTCTTGATAAAATTCACTAAAGTAAATATAAAATTCCTAAAAACGTCTTCTTTATTATTTATTATTAATCCTTTGCATACAGATTATTGGATAATAATAATAAATATAGATAGGTATATAGGTAATAAAATAAGATATAATAAAAGATTATAGGTACTCCTTTTCTGTACAAACTTGGGTTTTTCTGTATTTATACATTTGCATTTATTTAGGCATGTACATATTACACCCATGAAGCAGAAAGCGGGGTGTTATAATTTAACGTGTGTGTCTGTCTGTGGCTTCTTAGAAAAAATTTTGACAGCGTCAAAATAAAATTTATGGTGTAATCAAAATTTATTTTAAAATATATCCGAAAATAAAATTAAAAAATTAAGTAATAGTACAAAAAATGTTTTAAAAGACAACAAAATTAAAAGTGCATAATAACTACAAGATTTCCGCGACACCATTCAGTTTCAGACAAAGAAAGACAATAGCATTCCCAAGGAGGGTTGACGTCAGGCAGGCGGCCGGTCGTAAAACTTTTGCCAAATCCTATCAGCAGTACAGAAGATGTACTGCGCCGACCCCAAGTCATTGAGAAATGGGCAGTGAGGAGAAGAAATCTGTCTGTGGCTTCGTAGCGCCCAAACGGATAAACCGATTTTAATTTAGTTTGTTTTGTTTGAAAGATGACTCGATCGAGAGTGTTCTTGGTTATAAAATCAAGAAAATCCGTTAAACCTTTAGCAAGCTATCAGCTCTTCTCAGTAATGCCCGGCAATACAGCCAAAAAACGCACAGGGAGGTGGCTCACTTATCTGATAGCAGAGTGGACTGTGGAGCAACCCCATGGTTGTTGTGGTCTGCTTCGGCATACCTGCCGTCGGGCCGTCGTGGTTGAGTGCGCAAGCGATCCTGCGACGCCCCATTAAGACGGGGGAGGTTTTGTTGGGTAGTACTGGCTTTTCTAGCCGGTGAATCCCACATAACCACATGTATGTCTACAGGTATATATACGTAAATGCATTTCCCAACAATAAAAAAAGGAAGTGTTATATCCAAATCGAACTTATACTATACTAAAAATCAAGCAACATCTACGTCTAATATTCTATAGTATCAAGTCACACTTTACCACCCGACTCACCCATATATCGCGTCCTTATCGCGTTTGTGGACGAGCGGTTCGCCGGGCAGCGCATGCGCGGGCGCAGCCGGCGGGGGGTAGTGCACGGGGGGGATATGGGGGTGCGCGAGTCTGTGCTCATGGTACATCGCGCCGCCCTCCATGTAGCCCCCGCCGTGGAGGCTCTCGTCGTACTGGAAATATAAGGACATATATAAAAATCACCATCATATTAGACATCTACTAGACATATTCCTCCCCCAATAATTTACCCGACTTGACTCTTGTGTCACCTGAACCCAATGGGTTACAATTTTAATCAAGTATCAATAAGCATGTCATATATACATTATTTATCTTTGACAGATCAAAACTTTTAATTTGTCTAATATCAAGATTATTTTTTTATATAAAACGTGAGCTTGACGATATGAGAGCGCTGTTATATCATAATAATTAAATCAATTAGGTACTTACCTACCAATATATTTTCATAAGTCATTCTTTACATATAAAGGTATTTATGACCAAAAATACTGTTAATTTTGGTTTTATAACATTAATAGTAAAGAGACTACACAGTTTAAGCATTATTTTAAGTTGCTTGCTAATAATAAGATGAAGTAAAAGAGCGTAACGGCTCGTATTAAAGCACTATTTATTTTTACGTTCAATCGTAGTAACTAGGGGATTTATCTACCTTATAAATGCAAAAAATATCTGTATAGAAGTTAAAAGAAACATTCGCACAAACAAAAAAATTGCACTGTGTTTTGTATGTAGGGTCATCGTCCGTCGCGTGCCGGTCATGTAGTGCTAAGTCTATTAGATATGAGTAATGAGTATGTCCAAATAAAATATTTGGATTTTATTTATTTATGCAAAAATGTAAACATATATATTATAATATTTATTATAATTATATATTAAAATAAACTTTGTTTCATATATATACTGTAGTGTTAATGAACTCAGAAACTATTAAGTGACGTAGCAAGGATCGTATGAAAACGTCGAGTCATAGACCGTATCCACCATCTTTTACCTCCAATTAAATCCTCTTTCAAAATATATCTCTAGATTTTAAGGATGAGCTTTTTAAAGTTTGACAGCCGGTGCTTTTGTACTGTAATTATTTTAAGTGTTGTTTTAGTAAGAAGTGTAATATAATCATTAACTAAGTTAATTTACTCATAGCATTTTATATCATGTCCATTTAAAACACTTCACATGACTTTGTAATATATTATATATCTATACATATATAATGAAATTGTAACTAAGTCGAATCTGTACATTAAAATATTTTTTGGAAAATCTAATTGAAATAGACAATATTATCGATACAGAGTCCGAATCTACGAGTATAGTTTTTAGAATTTTTGTCTGTCTGTCTGTTACCGCATCACGAGAAAACCACTGGAGGGATTTTGACGAAATTTGGTATGGTGATAGCTGGTTATCCGGGTCAACATATAGGATACTTTTTACCGCGGGAAAATGTCTTATTTCTGAGAAAAAATACAAAAACTGTATTGTAAGAGTATACTAATATGTAAAACCTAAGAATTTGGTTTTTGGTCATCTGAACGCGGGCGGATCCGCGGGCAATGCTAGTATAATATATAAATACTAAGATGATTAATAGAGAATTTTGAAATAATAACAAATAAAATTAATAATATAATAAAATTAAATTCATATCATGACAATTAACAAGTGCATACGTCATTAACTCAACCCATACGAAATAAATGTAAAAGTTAATAATTAAAATATAAAAGCAATCAAAAATGTTATGTATAATTTATAAATTTTATTCATACTTCTTTAAAAGAATCGTTTAATTACCCGAGTAAGTACAAAAAGTAACATTATAACATCGTAAAGTTTCCAGTTAAACGCGAAATGGTGAAAAAATTACATAAACAAATAACCGTGTATACAACAATGATAACTGTTAGCATCTATGCTAATGTAAAATATAATTTTCGTATTTTTACGACTCATGAATATACATGAATAACAAGTGCGTGTCTGAAGTGATTGGAGATTTTGGTTTTAGAAATTGTAATTTTTTCTACTTTTCTGATATATTTTTTGCTTAGTTTACTATAAGCTTATGTTAATTATATTTAGATATTGCACTTTATTTTTCTTATATAATATGATGTATTTTTATTATATATATTCTGAAGGTAGTGCCCAGTGGTAACGCGCTCGCTTGGGAAACCGAGTGAAGCGGGTTCATATCTGGGTCTCGCACCTCTATTTTCATGTGCGAATCATTTCCAAGGTGATTACCATTTGTCTTATGGTGAAGAAAAACATCGTGATATAACCTGCATGTCTTAGATAATCTACCAAGTTTTCGAAAGACATGTGAAGTCCGCCAACCGTACGGGGCCAGCGTGGTGACTATGATGGCCTGATCCCCCTCGTATTGAAGGGAGGCCCACGCCCAGCAGTGGGACGTTAAAAAGGGCTAAAAACAATACGTATATTCTAAGCTATTTACTTATAACTTATACAAATATTAACTAAATAAACACTTTAAAATTTCACACATGTTTAGTAATTGCAAATTTTCAAACACACCTGGTCTAGTTAACTATTTATTATTAGAATATGTAAATCATAAAGCATTAACTTTACCGTTTAAAACTTGAATTTAAATAAACGTAATACCTACAGAGACAAGGCTTTTATAAAGACACATTTGAAAAAATATATAGCGGGCCATCAAAAAGAATGAGTAAGCGATTTGTGCGATCGATGGCTGAGCAGTGGAGCACCTGTTCACGCCTTCAGTTTATAATTTTAATGGCCGACAGTATTTATACTTTATTACTATCATTTTACCCAAAAATATAAAATCAATAACAGTAATATTGTCTTTTCTCTTAAGTATATATAACGAGCATATATTTTATATTAGCTTTTGTTAAACTAAACTTTTGCAATCCACACCGTCGTTTGTCTTAACGTTCACTTTACACGGGAATCAAACTCACGACCTCCAGCATCGTAGACAGTGCAAATCACGTACCATACTTGATGTACTGATCGTTTAAAACCAATAAATATATATTACCCTATAGTTTCTGAGTTATAAGCATGAAAACCATTTCATATAAATGTAAACGCTAGATTACATCGTATACCCAGGTTTATAGCTCATTCTGCATTGTGAATGTTTTATGTGCAGATTAGCACTGGAGTATTAAGTTCTGGTCCATACAACACTTACCATTCCTAGCCTTTACAAAAACAATTCGATCTCTGTCAACTGTATTTAATTGCCTTGAGTTTGTATTGGTAATGCAAATTTCGATTTTGTTCGGTGAGAAAATTAAAATGACTTTAAAATCAAACTATCTTTTGCAAGCTTTTAAAATTTTAATTTTTTAAATTTTACACTCAATATGACAGAGGCACTGGTAGCACAGTGGTAACGCGCTCGCTTGGAAAATCGAGTGAAGCGGGTTCAAACCCGGGTCTCGCACCTCTGATATTTTTATGTGTAAACGATTTCTAACATGATTATCACTTGCCTTACGGTGAAGAAGCACATTGTGAGGTAACCTGCATGTCTGAAAAAACCTAGCAAGTTTTCGAAAGACATGTGAAGTCCGCCAATCCGTACTTAGCGAGCGTGGTGGGCTATAGCCTGATCTCCTTGTATTGAACAGCAGTGGGACGTTAAAAAAGGCTGGATACAATACAAGCACTCAATATTTTTTTTTTATATAATGATGATTTTAATTTTACTTCTTATTATTATTTATTATTATCAATTTCTTTTGTATTATGACATTTATCTATAATTATTATGATTATTATTTTTTTAATTTTTGTACTTTTAATACATGCATAGTTAAATGCTATGTACACTTATAATTGACTTATATATGATGTTCTCCTAGCCGATTCCGGCCACGGCGGCCAATCTCAATGAGATTAGCCAACTGCGCAGGAGATATTATAGTGCTCAAGTGTACGCGCAGACACAAGTGCACTCTCTATTCCTATCACTCTCATACTCCGGTGGGACGACTACTCGACACGACCGGTGATAGTTAAGGCGCAGGACCGACAGCTTTACGTGCTCTCCGAGGCACGGGGGTGAAACACCGCCAACTTCCCAACTCCGGGCTGTTACTGAGACTTACTATACAGGAAGACTCAATAACTAAACTTGGCCCGACCCGGGACTCGAACCCAGGACCTCCGGGTGTGCAGCCGTACATGCTAGCCACTACACCACCGAGGCAGTTCACTTATATATAAGGTATATATTATTACATTAATTAATTGAAAATGTTTCATATGTATGTTGTAAGTGTGCTTTTTACAAATAAATAAAAAATAAATAAATATAAACAACTAAAGCACACAAAGCTCAATGCTTTCGTCAACTTTTAGAAACAACAGTTAACCGAATATGCATATTACAGTGGATATTACTAACGTATTTTATTTACGTAAAGGCGTAATTTTTTCTGAAACGAACAACAATAGAAATCATAATTGCTAATATTTTTGCGCTTTTATACAGCACTATAATTATCAGACTCTGTACATTGATTACCCATAAAAGGTAATTAAACTCCAGTTTCTATCATGACGTTTTTCACTTGCAAAACTAAAAAAAGGTTTTCATCGAAATTGATGTAGCAATATTGTTTTTTAACAATAAAAATAAATTAATAGAAGAAAAAACTTTGTTTAAAAGCTTTCTTAGATTTACGCGAATATTTGACATTTTAAATAAATCTGTCTTTTCGGATTATTTCGCGGATTTATTTTGATTTTTGGTTCCCGACGTTTCGAATGCTTTACAGGTATCATGGTCACGGGAGACTGAGGATATAGACGTCTCAAACACATACTTGTTACAGACAGTGGCTACCCACTATTTTACAAAAAATGGCAGTAAAGTACCTTAGAATATTTGTTGATTTTATTTCTAAACATTTTAATTTTTTATAATAAATATTATAATTAAATATAGCAATATTATTTATTTAATTTTTGCTTACACAATTTATCTATACTAATATTATAAAGAGGCAAAACTTGTTTGTCTATTTGAACGCGCTAATCTCCGAAACTATTAAACCGATTTGAAAAATTCTTTTTGGATTAGATAGCCCGTTTATTGAGGAAGGCTATAGACTATATAACATCTCGA